GATGGCACTATTTTATTTTGTTCACGCTGTTTCTCTGAGACTGGAATATATATTCTGATGTTGTTTGACTGGACGAATGTGAGTTGCGTCGCTCTGCTATTGTTAGTAGCATGTGGCTCTTTGAACGTGTGCCGAATGTAATTTACTCTGAAAATAATCAATTAAAATATCGTAAGTAAATTGCCACAGCTGTTTCTTGTTAAAGAAACATAAGAGTGACATTGCCATGATCTCGTTTGTGTGGATTAGCAGTATTGCAGTAATCAGATAAAAGGTCATAAGTCAATTTTGTTCTTTATGGATTCAATTGGAGGTATCATCTCATCTGGTTCTTCTGGTTAGTATTGTAGTTTATAATCATGGGATGATTTTCCTATCGCTGAATAATAATAATGTTTCTATTGAGTTTGAGAAATTAATATTAATTTGTATTTTGTATTGTGTCCCAATTCAATTTTGGCAAAACCCGCACAAAAGGCAACCAGACAGTCTGGTGCATGGTCGCCGGACGACGCCATAGGTCCGAGCATGACACAATTTCCTTTTGTTTTTTTGGGTTGGTTTTTGGTGATGTATTTGGACTCCACCCTATAAATATAACGAGCCATATCGGATTGAGCAATCCAATTGACATTTTTTTTATCTTTTTGTCTTTACTTTTTATATTCTCCCTTTGCCCTTGTCTCCTCCAAACCTAATCTGCTGCTCTGCAAGCTTCTAGATGGAGTTTCATGTGTTCTAGGTTGCCTTGCCAACCCTAGAGCAACCCTAAGTGTGTCTCCCCGATAGGTCCTTCTCGCTTATGCTCAAGTGTTTTAACAAAGGTAGATCTAACAAAACTAAACGAATTTCCAAATGAATGGTACTTTTTGGAATTTTAAGGGTTTGGGTGACACTAAGAAGTTTAAGTTTTTGTCAGATTTAACTATTGAAAAAAAGTCTAGATTTTATTGCCTTATTGAAAACAAGCAAGAGGGAATGCTCAGAAACTTTTCTAAGAACTTTTTGTGATGGGAAAGAGTTTATGTGGCATTATAAACCTCCCCAAGGACGATCTGATGGTATGCTTCTAGGCATTAACCTATAGACTTTTGGCATCAGTGAGATAGGAGAAGGGGGGTTCCTTATAAAATTCAAGATTCTCAATAGAGAGACAGATTTCAAATGTTTATCAGTTTCAGTTTACGGTGCCACACAACAAGAATTAAATGAGGTTTTCTTATTGGAGTTGTCTCTCTTACGTGCGAAAGGAACTTACCTGTTGTTATAGGTGGTGATTTTAATATCATAAGAGGACTATCTGAGAAAATAACTCGAGATACAATGATAGATGGCCTTTTCTTTTCAATGCAGTTAATGATGACTTCAACCTTACAGCATTGGATGTGTCAGGTAGATAGTTTATTTGGGTTAATAACCTACACATCCCAACTTTTGAGAAGCTAAGACAAAATTTTAGTCAGCACTGAATGGGAATTGCAATTCCCTAAAACCGTTGTACAAGCTTTAACTAGAGAGATTTCAGACCATACACCTCTTCTATTAAACACTGGAGAAGGAGCTTTTCCAAATAAATCGCATATGTTCAAATTCGAACTTGGGCTGGTTATTATTGGATGGGTTCCATGATATGGTGAGTGAGATCTGGTCAAATGTTAATGAAGGTCATACTCCATTAGAGATATGGCAAGCGAAAATAACATGATTTCACCAACATCTAAGGGGTTGGTCCAAAAATGTTAGTGGAGCGTACAAAAAAGAGAAGAAAAAATGTTGAACAAGTTAGATGAACTTGATAAGAAAGTGGAACAGATATAACTGACCATGGATGAGTTGAATTTGTAACATGTCCTTAATGAGAGATCAGCCAATCTTCTCAGAGGAGGAACTTAAATGGTACCAACGAGCAAAAGTAAAGAACATGCTAGAGGGAGATGCAAATACAAAATATTTTCATTTAGTGGCAAATTGGAAACATAGGAAAAACTCATATTTTCCATCTAGAACACGAGGAAGCTATAGTGTATGGTGATGCGGAACTAAAAAAGTATACCACCAAATACTGTAAAAATCTCTTCAGTCCACTAGACATCACTCAATTATCAATGGACGAAACGAGAAGAGAAGATATTCCTCAAGTTTCAGAAAAGGAAAATGAGGGACACAAAACTTTCCCAAAACAAAAATTAAAGAGGCGATATTTGAAATAAAAAATAATACTGCCCTAGGACCCAATGGGTTCCTGCTAGACTCTTATCAAACTTTCTGGAATGTAATTAAAAGTGGCTTGATAGCTTTGTTTGAGTATTTCCATGTTTGGCATGATTATTCTTCTCTCAACATCTAGTGAAGAGAAACAAATACAACAATATAGGCCAATCGAACTGTTAAATGTAAGTTTCAAAATCTTCACCAAGGTAGCCACCAACAGAATTACGAAGTTCACACAAAAAATGGTTAGACCTGCACAAACAGCTTTCCTGCCTGGCAGGAATATCCTGGAGGGAGCCACAGTTCTACATGGAACAATCCATGAATTGCATAAAAAGAAACTTAATGGTTTTTTTTTGAAAAATTGACTTCGTAAAGGCATATGATAAGGTGAAATGAGACTTTTTGCAACAAGATCTTAGAATGAAAGAGTTTTCTCCAATTTGGTGCAACTGGGTACAAGGTTTTGTACAAGGAGGGAATGCTGGTATAAAAGTGAATGGTCAGCTAAGACCGTATTTCAAAACTAGAAAAGGGCTTAGAGAAGGTGATTCATTATCCCCTATACTATTTAATATAGTGGTGGACATGTTAGCAATCACTATTGTGAGAGCCAAAGAGTATGATCAGATAAAAGGGATAGTGCCTCATTTTATACAAGATGGTTTATCACTTTTGCAACATGTGGATCAACAACAACAACAACAACAACAACAAAGCCTTTTAAGTCCCAAACAAGTTGGGGTAGGCTAGAGTTGAAACCCAGCAGAAGCAATCAAGGTTCAGGCACGTGAATAGCTGTTTTTCAAGCACTCCTATCTAAGGCTAAGTCTTTGGGTATATTCCATCCTTTCAAGTCTCCTCTTATTGCTTCTACCCAAGTCAACTTTGGTCTTCATCTGCCTCTCTTCACGTTACTATCCTGGCTTAGGATTCCACTACGCACCGGAACATGTGGATGACACAAATATTTTTATGGACCATGATATTGAACAAACAAAAAATATGAAGTTGCACCTTTGACTTTTGAACAATTATCGGGTCTAAAATTATACTTTCATAAGAGTGAGATTTTCTACTTTGGGTAAGGAAAATAATGTGAAGCTTAATATTCACAGCTCTTTGGAAAGTAGGATCCTATCGCTTTTGATATCTGGGAATACCTATGCATTTTAGAAAAATAAATAATAAAGACCAGAAGATTACTGAAGAAAGAATTGAGAAAAGACTTTGTAGTTGGAAGAGTAACTTTCTATCAATGTGTGGTAGGCTTGTGCTACTAAATTCAGTGGTCCAGTTTTCCTATGTATATGTTCTCTTTCTTCAAGGTACCTCGAGGGTCTTCCAAGAAAATAGAATATTATGTATCAAGATTTTTCTAAGAAAATCATCAACACAAGAAAAAAAATATAGACTTGTAAAATGGGGTTTAGCATACCAACCTAGGGAATAGGAGGGTTGGAAATCCAAAACCCAAATTTATAGAATAAGTCCCTCCTCAACAAATGGTTATACAAACTTTGTAATGTAGATGAAATGTGGCAGAAATTATTACAAAATTCGTACCTAAATAATAAAGCACTTTCCCAAGTTAAAAGGAAAGCTAGGGTTTCTCATTTTTTGATGGATTTAATGGCAGTTAAGGATCAATTTTCGGATTTAGTGAGGTTACTTAATGGACAATTCTCAAATCAGGCTCCGGCAAGATACCTAGTTAGTGAATCAACCCTAAGCTACAAATTCGTGAACTTGTTCAACATAGTTCGTAAAAAACATGCAACAGTAGACGAAGTATTCAACACAGTTCCCCTTAATATCTCTTTTAGTAGGGCACTGATTGGGAATAAATTGCTGGAATGGAATAATCTAATTATAACTATTACGAATGTAAACTTACAAGTAGGGAATGATACTATCATATTGGACCTTAAGTAAAAGTGGTAGTTTTATAGTTAGGTCGATATACAAATACTTCACTACTTAACTGCTGGCATTTACCGTGATCAAATATGTCGCTGTAGGTGTGTATAAAGGTTCATGATCCTAGTGCAACGCACTAGCATTTATCTACTAGAATATATGTATATGTAATCAATTGGAAAACAAAAAACAAAAAAAACGTACCTGGAAACTAGAAAGGTCAAACGACGTTGCTGAGTAGTACTTGCGTGCGGGCGCCTTGCAACTCCCAACTGGGCACACGCGACTCGCATGGCCTTTCCAGGCCCACGTACGTGTGGTGATGCGGGCTGCTGGCCACACGATAGGATTCGGCCAGGAGGGGATGAATCCTGATGCTTGGCTTCCAGAGTTTAGGCTTATCCATCGACGGGATCACGGGAGTCGGGACATACGATCGCGGCAACGCCGGGGACTCGTCCGCCGCCGTCTCGAATTGATGAACAACGAAGTCGACCTGCACAGGCGCCCAGGCTGCAAGAGTGCGAGTACGCGATCGTCGTGACTGATTTTGATTGAGATCGTCAGGTCCAGAATCCGCCCATTGCTGTTGTCAGTTTCGCAGCACGTGCGCGACTAACACGCAGAGGCGGAGTGCCGGCCGTCGAGGTAAGATTCAATCGCTGCTCTTTCAACTTGTTTGTATTGTAGAAAAATCATGTCCATTTGATTGCTGACATTATCAAGTCATTCATAATATAGTGAGATCAGGAATTCACCGGATTTGTATATAAATTTTTTCTAATGGTGTACCCTCGTGTAAAATTCTAGATCCGCCACCGATGGCTTCATCGGATCAAGAAACCCAGGGGCGGAGCTCTCGGATGGAGATGGATCCCGTCGCCGACACCGCCGGTGAGTCCGTAGTCACAGCCACAGGGGACGACCGCAGCCCTCTTGCGGTTCTTGCGGGCGAGGCGCTCGACAAAAAGAAGCAGAGGACGACAAGCATCGACGACGCGGCGGCGGCGTCGCTGTGGGCGTTCATTCTGGCGGACATACTAGGCGTCGTTCTCCGCTTCCTGCCCTCCCTCGCCGACCGCGCCGCCGTGCGGTCCGTGTGTCGGCACTGGCGTGCCGCAACGCACGGGCACAGCCTGCCGCCGCCGCTACCACTGCTCGTGCTCCCCAGGTTCAGGTTCTTCAGCTTTTCCACCCAGGGGGCAATTGTCACCATGCGCCGTGCGTGGATGCCTGAGGAGGTGGCCACTGGCCATGTCGGCTGTGTGGGATCTTCCGAAGGGTGGCTTCTCGTGGCGAGACCCTGCGAAGATGCCGCCGGCCGCGAGCGCTTCCTGGTGAATGCGTTCTCCCACGAGATCGTCTGTGTACCCCTCCTGCGTGCTCCCTACTGCACCACCTCCGGTGAACTCCCCTGGACTGCCAACGATGACCCCGACCCCAAGTATTCAAGGTCACTCGACCACGTCGTGCTATCTGCTCCGCCTGGCTCGGCGACCAAGTGCATAGTGGCAGGCTTCTCGTACCGCAGGGGTGTGCCCGGGCTCTCACACTGGCGTGGCTTGCCTGGGATTACGCTGTGGCAGCCTGGGATGAAGACATGGTACGTCTACCAATCTCGCTGGGTTGACTGGTTAAGTGACCTTGTGTTCCACCAGGGGAAACTCTACATGCTCCACAGGTCCTGGTATGCTGACCAATCGCCATGGCTCTTCGCTTTTACGCTCGGGGAAGATGAACATGGTGTCAATGTCTCTCACCTTGAGGGTCCAATGACTATGCCGCCGTTCCCCCGGCCCGCCCCTCTGCACTGGGTAGCAAGGTGCAACTTGGTGCAATGGCGTGGCAGCCTGGTGGTGATCATAAGATACGTCGAACCTTACGTATCGTTGTTCCAAACTGAGAAGGTTGATGTGTTTGCATTGGACCTAAGCATAGACCCTTGTGGAGTCACTGAGATCCGCAGCTTCGATGGCGATTGTATCTTTGTCGATCGATGCCGCTGCACTTCCTTTCCTGCCGGCTCATATGAGGGTGTCCAAGGTGACTGTATCTACTTTATCGAAAAGTATGAGAAGGGCGACGAGCCTAGTTATGTGACAACTGTGTACAACATGAGAGATGGTACAGTGAAGCCCTTCCCTGCTGAGTTATTGTCGGGTAACTCAGCAGAGGACAATCTCGCGGACCCAGTGTGGATGTTTCCTCCCGAATGAACTGCAGCTTCAGTCAGGTATCTTACCTGGTGCTGTCACTTGTTTAAATTTGCAGGATTCTGAGTTAATTACAATATGCCTCTTATATTTTATAACCATTTTAGGGCACTTGTGTTTCTTTGAGTTGAAGGGCAGGCCTGGTGCAGTGGTGAGAGCTGTTTCACTAAGTCACCAGGTCGTGGGTTTGAAGCAGCCTCTCTGCGGATTTTGCGGGGGAAGGTTTACCTCAGTTTTTTCCTTCTCCAGACCTTACCTTTTTTGTGTTTGTTTGAGTTGCTGTCGACATATATGATTGGATTCTTGCATAAATTTGACGATAGTCATGGACTTTCTGTATGCAATAATTGAAGTCTTTGCATCTGTGATCTGCGGTCTTTTATTCTCTACTTGCTGTTTCTCTGAACCTGGAATATGTTGATGTTGTTTGACTGGACCAATATGAGTTGTGGGGCTCTGCTATTGTTAGTGGCATGTGGCTCTTTGAAAGTCTGGTGAATGTAATTTGCTCTAAAAATAATCAAATAAAATATCATAAGTAAATTGCTACAGTTTTTTTTTTCTTTCTAAAAAAAGCATAAGCGTGACACCATGATCTTCTGTGAATTAGCAATAACAATAATAATCAGATAAAAGGCCATAAGTCAATTTTGTTCTTTATGAATTCAATTGGAGGCATCATCTCATCTGGTTCTTCTGGTTGAGTACTGTAGTTTATATCATGGGATTACTTTTCCTATTCGCTGAATAATGCTTCTATCGAGTTCCAGAAATTAAGCTAAAAAGCAAACGCATAGGATCTGGAGTTTCAGCCTGCACCTCTCTCTCTCTCTCTCTCTCTCTCTCACACACACACACACACACACACACACACACACACCGGCGACCTCCTCCCCGCGCCAGCCATGGTGGATGCTGTGGCGGCGGCGGATCTGCGCTAGGTAGGCCTCCTCCTTCTCTCTCCTCTCTCCTCCTCCTCTTAGATCTCTAAGCTAGGGTTCAGGCGAGCTCTCCCTATTATCTCCCCCAACTCCTGTGGGTATAGAAGGGGTAGGCCAGAGGGAGGAAGGCCGGCCAGACAGTGGGGATGGCCGTCAGGCGGTTTAGGGGAGCTGGCGGCGACAGCGGCGGCCGGGCTAGGTTGGTGCGGGGGAGCTCTGGCCATGGTGGTGGCGGCGGCGTGGGGGGAGGGGGGAGAAGAAGATGGCACCGTTGGCGAGCTACGCGGCCATGCGTCCAGCACCTTACCGACCACCAAAAATTGATCATGCGAATTATTATAGGCCAAAACTACATGTTGGGCCGAAAAATTGGTGTGATTGAGGGAAACACAGAATATCATGCATGCAAGTGAAATGATTTTCAGCATGTACGCTAGGTCGTATTTGGCTTATAAGCCATGGCTTATCAGCCAACAAACCGTATTTTTCTTTCACACCAAACTAGCCAACAGTACTTTCAGCCATGGCTTATAAGCCAAACAAGCCCAAACGAACAGGGCTTTTGCTGATCATCCATGTGCAAAGTGTTTCAAAGTTAAAAAAAGTTGTAACTTCTAAACCAAGTTTTAAAATTAAATTCCAATTGCACCGTTATGTTTCTTATAATTAATCCTTCAAAACAAAATCTCACTTGGGTATATTTAGAAAAAATATCAAATAACATTTTTCTCATAAATATAGAATACTTTTTATTGAGCAGATATAATGTTCTAGTTCTTAAGACAAATGTTCTAAAACGAAAATGATATATTGCAGGAAGATAACAAAATATATTATATAAAGATAAATTTTCTTTTATTGAATCTCACTCAAAGATAATCTAGAACATCTCACTTATAAAATGTGAACATAACAAAATAAATTATAGAACATCACATATATACTACCGAACATCAAATGTATACCCCAAGAACATGATAAAATACATCATGTATACCACGTGAATATTACAAAATACATCATAGACCATCACATATATAATACATGAACACTATAAAATATATAATAGACAATCACGTGTATACTAATGAACATCACAAATGCATCATAAATAAAACATCACATTATACTACGTGAACATCATAAAATAGAACCGAGAACATCACAAGTACACTATTGAACATCGTATGTATGCTACATGAACATCAAATGTATACTATGTTAATATCAAATATATCTCATGGATTGTAGGAAACAAAAAATAAAGTATTAAACTAAATAATTATAATAAATAGCAAAGAATAAAAATACAATAAAAACATGGATAACAAATGCTAAATATACAAAAAATGAATAACTTAAATGAGGAAAGGAAAAAAATTAAAGAAAATGACATATATAATGCGCGAACATAACAAGTAACATATGAATAAAAAAACTTATAAAAAAACTAAAACATGAAAATGATTTTACAATAAAAAACTAAAGTAAATGAAAAATAGAAAATGAAACAAATAAAAAGGTATAAAACAAAAAAAGAAAAAGCAAAAGTAAATAGAAGAAAAGAAAGAAAAATAAAAACATGAAAATAAAAAATGAAATAAAGAAACATAGTGAACTAGAGTAAAATATTAATAAAATAAAAATGGAAGTTAAATAAAATTAAAAGATGAATAAAAGACCATAGAATAGAAAAAAGGAAAAGAAACAAGAACAAGCATGGAACATATAAATAAAACCTAGGGAACAAGGAGGGTTAGTAATTCAAAATCTAGTTTTATAGAATAAGTGCCTCACTACAAGAGATATGACCTTCTACGACGATTTTCTCGTGACAATGGCTAAATTTGTCGCTAAGTCATTTTGTTTTACGACGTTTTTTGGTGGGAGTATGATTTTACGACGAAAATTACGTGTCCGTCACTAAGATCTAGTAGAAATCATCGTAAACGGAGGGATTTCCATGTTACGACGAATTGCAATTTACCGCGGCATGCTAATAGACAATCATCATAATTTTTATTTAATTTTTCACATGCTAAGCTCAACTCCACATACTATATTGTGAAGTTCAACTATACTGTGAAAATCAATTTCCCTATGTGGTTGGTCCACTTACTAGAAAAATATCTTTTCTGTGGGTTCAAATATTTTTTTATCAGCATTTACCCAAAAAAATTATATCAGGAAAAAATTAGTGCGCAAGATCTCGTGTCGATGGAGCATATGCCCGAAATAGCACCTCCAGCCTCTAAAAATTTCATTCCGCGCGCATGCAACGAATCCTCCCGCGCGCAGAAACAAAATCACGGGAAAAAAATAACTCCCACATGCCCCCTCCCCGACTTCCCCCACACACCTTATCCGCAATTCCGCATGCCGCACACAGGCCTCTCCGCCAGGCCCCTAGCGCCACCCGCCTCCTCGTGCCGCAACTCGGCCGGCTAGCCGCCCGCCCGCCGCCTCCCTCATACCGCCCACCCCTCACTGCCCAGGCCTCCCTCGATGCTCGCGGCGCCCACCCTTCCCTCGCACCGCCAGCAGCTCCCTAACGCGGCGGCCGGCGGGCTCACGAGGCAGCGGCGCGGATCTGGTGAAGGATCTACTCGGCGGCCGCAGGAGGCAGTTCGGATCAGTGTGGGAGGCGCCGGTCCCAGGCAGCTGCGGTGGTAGTGTGGGACGGAGAGGCGACGGTGGTGGTGACAGCGTTGGTGGCGGCGGCGCTGATCCAGGAAGCGGTGGCGTGAGATGATGAGGCCGTGGCAATGGCGACCGCCTTCGCCATCCACTACCGCGTGCTCGTCGCCGTCGTCGTGTTGCGGAACTGCGGGCGTGCGGGAACATGCCACAGGTCCGATTCAGCTTCGCTGCGACTGCACGAGTAAGTTGGCTCTTCTTCCCTTGCAATCACTATATGTATGCATGCTCATTTTGTCCCATGTTGCAGGATTCAGTTACTCGACTTCCGTTCAATAGATCGGCCACAACAATTTTTTGGAAACTGAATGATAGGCTGTTTTCAGGTTCAGTCCAACTGCATGTTTTGTCTGTGTTGAATTGATAAAGTTGCCTGAGGCAAAATGAAACAACAAAAATGGGTCGTCTAGATCATAACCAACGAACCAGTATGGAGTTAGTTACTCTTCGAAACAAAAAGGCCTTTTGCAAATGCTGCCGCGAGTTGCCATGTGAATTATGAATGACATTTGATTTTTGAGATATTAAAGTTAAAGTTATCCACATGCAGTCTGGTGCACCGTACACCTGTTTCTGGTAGAAGGGGCTTGATTTTAACATATCTACATCTCTGTTTGGGCGTACGCTGTGCAGAGAGCTCCCGCTCTGTGCGGGGTCTGAGGAAGGGTATTAGTGCACTGATAGAGAACAGAGCTTTACTCCCGGTGGGGAACCCCCTCTAGTCCCAGTTCCCCACCCAGGAGCAAGCATCCGGAACTAAAGGGGGTCCTTCAGTTCCGGGTCAGGAACCGGGACTAAAGGGGGACCTTTAGTCCCGGTGGGTAACACCAACCGGGACTAAAGGTGCCTCCTGACATGCCACGATGTCCGGCACCCTTTAGTCCCGGTTGGTAATACGAACCAGGACTAAAGGTTTTTTTTCTTTTCTTTTCATTTTTTTGTTTTCTTTTCAAAATAGGTTTTCGAAGTCGTATTGTACGTTGCTAATTATACATTTATACGCGCGTATAGTATGTTTCGGTTCAAGCACAATGAACGTATTAAATCACACAATTCAAGCATATATATATATATATATATATATATATATATATATATATATATATATATATATATATATATATATATATATATATATATTACATGCATGCATGCATATGTGTATTTTACATTATATTATTTCATGTGCATATATTACAAAAGATTGCATTACAGTTGTTGTGATGTAACAAGTTTCCTCTCATCCTCTAGCTTGGCTTCCATGGCGTTGTTGGGTCAAGTAGAACTCGCCTTAGAATCGATGACTTTGGTCATTAAAAAATCCGCTATAGACTCTTGAATTGCTTTGATTTGGTCTTGCCAGTA